GCAGCAGTGTGTGCATGCTGACTGCAGTGGTCACTGCTGGTCACCAGCAGCTCTCTGATGACAGCAGTGTGTGCATGCTGACTGCAGTGGTCACTACACAAGCGTGCCTAGGTGATGAAATGGCACAGAACCTTAACACCCACATTCTACCAGTGTCACCTGCCTGGTTTTACTGTCATGCTCTGGTTACACAAGATGTAACAACTGAAGAAAACTAGGCTAAGGGTACATGGAACTTGGCAATTTTGCCCATTTGAAAACAAAACCACTTAGGAAGGTGGGGAATCATTAAGATTTGTGCAGCCTTCTACCCAGCCTGGAGCGCTATCACTAGAGCAGAGCATTGTCTTTCTCTTGGTGGCATAATTTCAAAACAAAATTACAGAACTTGAAAGAAAATTTAAAGTCCAGATGACTTGATATGCAAATCCATTTCCTTAACAAAACCAAAGAAAAACATGTGGGTTGTAAGGTGTTCTGAATATATAGAAAAGATAGAAGAGGCTTAGTTAGTAACTGCTGTGGTTTGACTATGTCTCCCAAGTTCGTAGGTTGGAGACAGAATCCCAGTACAGCAGTCCTGGAGGGGGAGGCCCAGAAAAGGGTGGTTAGGTCACAGGGCTCCGGCCTCCCAATGGACTATTGCTGTTTCACCAGCCTGGGTTAGTTCCTGGGAGAGTGTTACAAGGTGAGTCCAGACACCTCTTACTCTCCTGTTCTCACACTTCCACTGTGCCATGACAGAGGAAGACAGCCCTTGCTGGGACCCTTGAGCTTCAAATTCCCAACATCTGCAACTGTAAGAACTAAACATCTTTTCTTCACAAATTACCAAATCTTCCTGGGCAGTGGTGGCGCACATCTTTAATCTCAGCACCTGGAATGCAGAGGCAGGCAGATCTCTGTGAGGTCAAGGCCAGCCTGGTCTACAAAGCAAGTTCCAGGATAGCCAGGGCTACACAGAAACCCTGTCTCAAAACAAAAACAAAAACAAAAACAAAACAACAACAATAACAACAAAACCCAAAAACCAAAAACCAAAAAAACCAAACCTCAGACTCTGTGATAACAGGCTGTAGCAGCCACAGCAAACAGGCTATGGCCATGGCAGCAACTTTGGCTGAAGAAAGATGCGCCCATCTATCTATTACAGCAAGGCTGGTTAAATTTCCCACTAATTTATGCCTTAACCAACTTATTTCCTGAGCAATCTCCATATCTTAAAAGCCAAAAAAGCAGTGAAGAAGAAACAAATCAAATGCAAATGCCCCTCACCCCTTGCTCATGGCCCCAGGGAAGAGGAACGGATCCATAAAAGGCTTTGCCCCCACTGAAATCAGACTAAAATTTTACATAATGCTGCTTCCAAATGCATCTTCTCAAAATTCAGACCTTGTAGAAAGGACTGTACTAGCACTCAGAGTTTTATTTGCCTCTTTTTCCAGACTGTATTTGGACACGATTTGCCTTGGCCATCCATGTGACTCTGGACTGTCACAGGGGAAACACTGAGTGGTGTGGTTTTGGAATCAGATGAGTGAATGAACGAACAGCTGAGGGGGGAATGGGTGGATGACGGGAGAAGGGAATGAACCACATTGGAAGCCAAAAGAGAAAGGTGACCTGGGAGAAACGTAGAATGGATAAAAGATATACAAGGGCCACTTCTCAATTATTCTTATGTAAGCACAAACTGCCCTCCCTCCCTGTAGTGGGTAGCCATTCCAGCTTGGTTCTGGAAGTTCCAACCCCCATTGAGACTCTGGCAACTGTCACGCCTACGAGGCGGGGCGAGGGGAGGCGCCTGGGGACCAAGAGCTGGATGGGCCAGCGCTCGCTCTGGGCGCTCTCTCGGTGCCGGAACGCCATTTGGCGTAACTCACAAATTAAGTAATGGGTAGGTCGCAGGGTCTGGGGAAGGTGTAATGCAGTCCAGCGGTGTTCTCCGGAGCTCTGCACAGTCAATCTGCACCGGTCAGCGTTCCGGCACCGAGAGAGCGCTCAGAGCGAGCGCTGGCCCATCCAGCTCTCGGGTCCCCAGGCGCCTCCCCTCGCCCCGCCTCGTAGGCGTGACAGTTGCCAGAGTCTCAATGGGGGTTGGAACTTCCAGAACCAAGCTGGAATGGCTACCCACTACACCTCCCTAATGTCCCAGTTAGATAAAAACTTGTCCACACTGACCAGGAACTAACAGGAGTAGCTTTGGAGAAAATTAAGGAGCACAGCTCCAAACCTGGATTGTTACTGAAAAGCACAGGAAACAATGACGTGGAAGTTAGCCAGAATCAGAACTCAGGGCCAAGGGTCGTTGTGGAAATGACCTAGGGGCACACATGGCTCTTGGAGAAGGAAATGGACTTCCTACTTTTATTTTTTCCCCATAATATTATTAAATTAGTCTGAGCCAACTTTAGTTAAATTTCAAATAATTAACACTGTGCGTGTTGTTTTGGTTCCGGGGTCATTACACTTTTTTTTTTTTTTTTTTTTTTTTTTTTTTTTTTTTTTTTTTTTTTTTTGCAACAAGGATAAAAAACTAAAGAAATAGGAGAAGGAAAGAAATGAAAATAAATAAAATTGAGGTTGTATCTAGAAAACAGAGGAGACAGAAAGAAAAAGACAACCAAGTGAAAAATCTACAATTACCTCATTCTGTCTGGTTTGGCAGTCATATAATCCAAAAACAGCATTTCCCTTATTATCCTAAAAATTAATTAGATGTTTATTAGTGTCATTGTTCAGGAAATTAGGTTGTCACTGGTTTTTAAACAAACCTAAAGTAACTCTAACAGTTTTAGTAGCAGGCACTCTAAGGGAAGCCTACTGTACACATCTATCCAGAAGGCCCAGACCTAGTTCAGCTGGTGGCTGGAACTTGGAGAGGAAACAGTCATCACTGAGCAGCTTAGAGAATCTGGGGACTGGCTAGAAGGCCTTAGCATGGACCTCCAGCTGTGTCCTTAAGAGAATAAATATGGCAGATAATGGGATTGAACAAAATCCATAATATTCATGTAAGTAAAATTGAATCTTTAAATGCATCATCCCTAAATATAACGTAAGAATCTTTTTAATCAACAGGGAAACAAAGTATGGTGGGATAAATGTCTAGAACTCACTGCTGGAATTCCTCCTTCATGTGTCCCTATTAGCAGATTTGTCAGTAAAATTAAGTTTTTCTTAGGACATCCAACATCTGACGATGTTGTCAAACACTCACAGTGTCGACTCTGGTTATACTTACATCTGAATGTACAGAGTAACCATAGCTAACATTTTCTCAAAGACAAAATTTTAATATACTAGTTAGGTTTAAATATCTTAGCCTTTTTTCCTCTAGAAAATGAAATTATCCATCCATTCAAATTCTGTGAATTTCAGATATGTAGTTTCATCTGATTTTTAGAAGAGAAAATACTCATGAGATGGACTATCAGCCGCTCTTCAATCCCACATACACAGAAGCCAAGGATGTCAAAGGTTAAGTACCGAAAAATCTGTGCTGCCCTTCAATAAAGTAGAGTACAGGTTCTGTAAAAAGTTAGTCTTAGCACTGGGGAAGTAGAGGCAGGCAGATTTATTTCTGTGTTCTACATGGTGAATTCTAGGCTAGCTATGGCTAATAAGTGAGATCCTGTCTCAAAAAAAAATTCTATAAAAGAATAATATAAATGATGAAAACAGTAAACCATATGTTGTATATACTACTGCAATAAGAAGACAGCATGGACTCACCTTATAGGTATAAATAATGTTTCCATTTCTTTCAATGTTTAGTACACGTAAACTCTCCTGAGCTGTTTCTAAAACACCTGGAACACATAATGGCAGGCTAGTATTCAGAAAATGCTTTTAACACATCCAACAAATAGAATATTCATGAAAGAAATCAAATTCAAAACTATAAACTGATGATTCCGTTATACAGAATTTACAATAAGGCAAACTTATTCTATCCCATTAGAAGCCAAAGCAGGGGGAGGGGTACTCTGAGCACACTGATAAGCTTGTAAGATATTCACTGGGATCTACCCTCTTGACCTCTTGACTACACATTCTTCTATATGTTATATCTTTTTTTTTATTGTTTTAAAAACTGCTGTATTCAAAATCAATAATAAACTTTAGGGTAAATAAGCTTTAAAACAAAAGCTTAAGAACAAAAATAAATAGTTTACACAACTCACTAACCTATTTTTTCATTAAATCAGTTTCCAGCCATTGGACTATAAGCCTGGGCTGGACCCATGGGAAACCCTCATAGTTGATTATCATAAAAAACAGTAGCAAAAAATCAGAAGGCTGAGTAGTAGACTCTTTAACAATCCAAACACTGGATATTCCTTCTTTGTCTTTTGAGGAAGTATTTACTCTGTAGTCTAGATTGGCCTGGAATTCACTACCTAGCCCAGGCCAGTCTCAAACTCATGGCACTCCTCCTGCCTCAGCTTCCTCAATACTGGGATTCCAGGCACAAGCCACCGTGCCTGCCTTCCAACACAGTATTTAATGTTTACTTTAAAATAACCAAACTTTTACATTTTGTACACAATCCAATGTAATGCTAAAATAATTAGCATTTTAGTTTGAAGAAGCATTATATAAACAGGGATGGGACACTATAAATGAGGTCTTCAATTCTTGAAGTACAAATAAAAAGGGGTGTATGGTGGGAAAAAAATCCAGACACTAACTGGAGGGACATCTGAAGGCTTGCATCCTTTATTTTCTGTGATGGCTTTGAAGTTATGATTGTTTGACATGTAGAGCCTTCGGCACATTAGATACAGCCTTTTTTTTTTCACAGTAAGTTAAAATCTCATCTTGACTCTGTATAGACCTGGACGGTCTTGTGGGTGGATTCCAGAAGTCTGCTGTGTGATAAAGAGTAACATGAAGGATTGCTGTAGTGCCCTAATTTCATACTTCCTTGTACATAATGAATCACTTTGGGAATTTATTCCAGGGGCTATGTACACAAAAGTGTCAAGAAGAAAATGTTCTCCACTCTTGCATAAAAAACGTGTACAGTGCTTCAGGAATGGATCTTCTGCTCTGCTGGGCCGGGCCTCAGGGATCTCTGCAGCCAGAAGATGGGAGGCTCCTTCCTCCTACTTTATTGCTCTGTGGTTGAGTATTAATCATCCAACCCTGGCGTTTCTCCTTGTTGGATCCTAGATGCTATCCTGATGGCTTCTTCCAGAGATGGCTGTTCTCCAAGCTGAACTGCAATCTGAGTGCCATTGGACATTGCCACTAAGGTCAGAGGTCTGGTTTCTGTAGTTACTAAATGATGGCAATGTTGTTGGTGTCCCATTTCTGAAGAGGCTGTATGGAATGCTGCCAGGTCTTGAGCCACAATTGCAACCTGCTGTCCTTCTGTGCCCTCGGCGGTGACCATAGCCACAGAGTGTGTTCCTGCTGAGGAGATGACTGCATCGTGAGTGGGGACCGTGATAGCTATGCCATCCTGCGTTACCATGGTGATGGTGTTGCCAATGGCCTGCATGTCAGCTTGAGATATGTTGACATGTTGAGTGCCATCCTGGGATATAAGTGTAACTTGTTGACTCAACCCAGACTGGGTTACTGTGGCTACCTGTGTAGATACAATGTCCTCTCCTTCTACACCTGTAACATATGTGATCTGGGACCCTTTAAGAACATCATCACCTTGACCTGGGGGAGGCTCAAAGAAGGCTTCCTGCTCCTCCTCAATGGGCTCTGTGTCATTGTGAGCTGTCCATTTGTGCATGGCTAGTGTGGAGATCTGTTTGTATGTCTTCTCACAGTGGTTACAGTTGTATGGTTTAGAGTGAGTATGAATGGCATGGTGTTTATACAAACTGGAATATTCTGTAAACCTTTTGTCACAACCAGGAACCGTACAGACATATAGCTTTTCTCCTGTATGGGTTCTGATGTGCTTCTGTAGATCTCCTGAAGTTTTGAAAGATTTTGTACAGTTATCTTCTGAACATCGATATGGCTTTTCTCCAGTATGAGTTCTGAAATGACTTTTTAATCCATAACCTGTCGCAAATGCTTTCCCACAGCCTGAATGCTCACACTGATAAGGCCGGTCTCCTGTGTGTGAACGTTCATGGACCTTAAGATGATGAGCTGTTGTATAGAGTTTGCCACATCCATCGCATTTACACTGAAATGCCTTCTCTCCACTCTGCTGAGATTTAGGAGTTACTCTTGTAGCATGTCCTTGTAAGACAATCTGCATTTTTTTCTCTTGGTCATTCTCTCCAATCAATCCTGTACTTGTTACGCTTTCACTCCCATCAATGGAAACCTTTGCCGCATACTGCTCCAAAGCACTAATGGTATCTGGATCAATTGTAGCATCCCCAGCGTGCAGCCCTGCCACTGTCCCATCAGCCTGAATTGCCAAGATGGTATCAGACTGTGGGACTTGCACTGCATGGTGGATGTACGCTGTTGTGCCATCTTCCAATTGAACTGCCTGAAGTGAGCTCTGGTCATAACTATCTTTTGAAGTATGGTGAATAAATGCAGTGGTTCCATCTTCTAGCTGCACCGCTTGCCCATCTTCCAGCCGCCAACTGTCCCCTGTACTTTTAGGTATGGGGACATGTTGAACATAGGCAGCAGAACCATCTTCCACCTGAATGACCTGGCCATCAATGAGTCTCCCATCTTTAGAATTATGCTGTATGTAAGCAGTGGAGCCATCTGCAAGTGTTACAGCTTGTAAACTTACACCTTCCATATTTTCTAAATTGTCACCATCTGCCACGGTCACTGCCTCTGTCAGGCACAGGGTGACATGCTGAGCCTCCATTCCTCCTCCAGGAAATTCTGTCATTCCCTGAGGATCCCCATTTATTTGGGCTAACAACATTTTCTACCTTTGTAATTCCATCCTTACATTCTCTATATGTTGTAACCATGTCAATTGTATACTAACTTTTCTTTATGCATTCTGAGGCTGCATCATTAGTGGCATACCAATTTAGAATTATTATACTTTCCTGCTAGATTCACCCCTTGCCAGGTGCTCAGCTGAGTTCCAGGTGTTTGAGTAGTAACTAAAATAATAAGATTTGTAAAAGCAGGGCACTGAGGAGATGGCTCAGTTGGCAAAGTGCCAGTCAAACAAGCATACAGACCTGCATTCAGACCCAGCACCCATGCTTGTCAAAAGCAGGCATGCCAACATACATCTGCAACTCTGCTGCTGGAGTGGATCCAGATGAACCCTCTAGCTTGCTGGCCAGCCAGCCAGTGAGAGACCGTGCCTCAAAGATGGCATACAATAGAGGTGGACACCCAACATCATCTGCTAGTCTCCACCCACGCACATGTGCATGCATACACTCCACTCACATACACACAGGGAAACAGTCAAACCCTTCCTCACTTAATATGATGTCATAAGCAACAGGCTAAACCAGAGAAAGTACAGACACCCCTCTTCCATCTTCCCCATGGGATGCTGCCTTTGATGAACGATGCTGAGAGTTAGCACAGGTGTTAACTCAGAAAATGTTTTTTCTCTTGCTGTCAAGAACCACCTCCACCCCGTAAAGGTTCGTGTGAGGTGAGCACCCAGGAGGAGAAAGAGAGGAGGGAAGTGGAGATAGGAGTGGAAAAGTAATGGTCAGAGCAAAGAACATTCCATCCCCTACTGAAGGGGATTCTGTGGTGGAACGTTTGTTAAAGATGTGTTACATTCTTCTATGCTGTGGAATATTTGTTTAGTCATGCAAAGACGTGCTGCATTCTTTTATGTTGCATTTGTTTAACTCTGTGAAGCTGTGTTACTGTGCCTGTCTAAAACACCTGATAGTCTAATAAAGAGCCAATAGCTAGGCAGGAGACAGGATAGAAAGTGCTAGAAGGCAGAAAGAATAAATAGGAGGCAAAATCTGGGAAAAGAAGATTGAGGAACAAGAAAAGAAGGAGAGGAAGACATCAGGTGCCATCCACCCAGCCACCCAGTTACACAGCAAGCCACAGAGTAAGAAGGAAAGAAATATATATAGAATAGAGAAAGGTAAAAGCCCAGAGGCAAAGGGTAGATGAGATAATTTAAGTTAAGGAAAGCTGGCTAGAAACAAGCCAAGCTAAGACTGGGCATTCATAAGAAAGAATAAGTCTCCATGTATTTATTTGGGAGCTGGGTGGCAGGCCCCCCAAAGAGCCAAAGAGTGAAAACAAACCAAACCAAACCAAACAAAACAAAAAACAAAAAACCAGGCTTCAGAGAGGTCTCTGCCAGGAGCCTCCCTAAGATTCCTGGTCCTAAAGGCAATTCTCTACAAGGGATACAGCTAGGAGAGGGCAATTTCCTGTGAGGCCTTCCAAGTACAACTTTGTAATTGTATGTATACCTGTGTGAAAAAGCACACCTAAGTCTTAAGCAGGAATTAGACTTTATTCATTGAAGAATTTCTTTTCTTTCTTCTTTAAACCCTTCTTTGGTCCTTACACAGTGACATGGATGTTCTGGATATGGCTCTCGTGGTATAACTTCTTCTGTCCTTTACTGTTAATCCCTTGCCACTCTTGTTTACAGTATGAGACTTGTGAGCAGAATCACCTCTTGGTTCCTCTGCATCCTCCCCACCGCCCCCAGCTGACACTCAGCTTTCCGCAGGATTAATAGTCCACTCTCACTTAGAGCAGCTGTCTCGGGTCACACTTGCACTACTATTTGTCTTCTGGGACTCGCTTACTTACTCCTTCCAGATGGGAGTTGACATTCTCTCCTCCCGGTTACTAACTTGTCAGTTACATGCTCTTTTCCTATCCTCTTATTAGTTAGACCAAGACTTGTAGCATGGGTGCTCAGCAGTATGCTTTAATGTTACATGGCACCCAAGAATATGATGCAGTATCTACTGAAGCTGAACACAGATGATTCAGGAAGCTCCCTTGCACCAGTATCCCAACCGCAATCTGTATGTTCAGCATATGTTCAGCAAAAGGCAAATCTGAGCTACTGTGGTTCATAGTAGCCCAAACTGAATCCCCCAAAATGCCTACCAAGAGCTAAACAATGGAATACACTATGACAATGAAAAAGAACTAACCATAGCAACACATAGAAGTAACAGAGCCAAGTCAGCCATGGTGGTGCAGGCCCTTAATCCTAGCTCTCAGGAGGCAGAGGCAGGCAGTTCTCTATAAGTTTGAGGCCAGCTTGGTCTACACATAGGGACCCTTGATTCAAAAAAAAAATTGAGCAAACTACAAAATCCCCATAACCACTGAATACCAACTGCTTTACTTGATTGGTATGTTTCTGAAACTGACGAAATCAGTCTCTGAAGCTAAATGAGCAACTAACTGCCTTGAAGCACAGAGGACCTATTGAAGCTAATGTGTTTCTTCGTGCTCTGAGTGCTGCCTTTGGGGGCTTCACTCTAGGGAAATTGACTGAACTGTGTGTCCTTACAACTTGTGTGCTTTGCAATAAACAAAATCATATTCTAGAGCAAGACATAAAGACCCTTTATACAAAACATTGAACTTAAAATTTAACTGCCCATCTTCATCTACAAGGACAGTCTTGATTCTACAGGTAAAGGACTTAAATAAACAGAGGTTTGTAGAGAATTCTTGATTATCATTAACTGAGGAGTAACTGACATTTTTAGCTTTCTCAAAAGTTGTTCAGTTTGCTTGAACTTAATTGCTCATTTATGAATAGAGTATCCAGATATTAAAACAGTATTGCATTGGTTATGGAAAATTCAAATGTTTACATGAAGCATGCAAAACATCCTACAGCACATCCTGTTTGTATTTCTAATTCAAAAGAAAACAAGAGCAGAATAAATGCAGGGATACGGAAGAACTGGACACCACAGCTGGAGCTGGTGTGGGACCCTTCAGAGAAAGCAGAGGTTTCACAGCGGCGTGGCCTTAACCCTGAAGTCTCTCTTCCTGCCTGTCACAAGACATCATTGTGTCAGAGATCTGCAGAGAGGATGCAGAAGTGGTTTTGATAGACAGGTGTATACTTCTATTGAGCTACCAGAATCACTTCGCACTGATTTTAAAATATATGGATAATCAATGGATCTTAAGCAAAACAAGGTTCAGTCAGCTGACTGCCAAGTAGCACTTCACAATGTCTTCTCATTTCCACATCAATCACTTGTTGGCTCAGGTGTTATAGGCCCATTGTACTTAAAAGACAATTGAGTTCAGCAAGCTGAGGACCAGGCCAACCCCACACAGTGAAGAAACAGTGCAGGGTCATCTCAGACCCAAAAAGGACAAAGAGAACAGTGGGCTAGTACCCTGTGTCCACTGACAGGAAGATGAGTAATTACCCTTTCAGGGGATTCTGTAAGTTCATTCCCATCCTGCAATGACGTAAAACTTCTGGAATGCAATGTGTCAATATTTTGAGAATTTTTTTTCTTTCAAGAGTATAAGGATACTGGGACAGACATTCACAAAAGTATACTTAAAAGGTTTCAGCTAAGATAAGAAATTCCTCTACAAGAAGTCTTGAAAAAATTCTTGGCAAAACACCTATTTTTAAATTACTAAAAAAGTCTCCACCAAATACAGATTATAATTATCGTGTGTGTATGTGTGTGTGTGTGTGTGTGCATGCGCACACGTGCACACACACACATGCACATGAATATATATATCCATACATAAATACATATACATACCATGGGCACTTAGCTCTGCCCATATTAGAAACATGAGGGGAGCTTTTTAAGTAACATTGTTGCTCTTCAAAAGAACCAAGATACTCTCATCTTAAAAAATATATATTATTATTTAGTTGTTTATTTGGTGTGTGAGAAAGGGAGAGAAAGGGAGAAGGGAGAAATAGAGAAGGAGGGAGTAAGAATGAGACCATGAGACACACGTGGCAGAGGACACCTTGTAGCAGTCAGTGCTCTCCTTGCACCCTGAGGGACTCAGATCATCAGGCTTGGAGCAAGTGTCTCTACCTACCGGGCCATCCCACTAACTCAAGATGTTCTGATTTTTAGGAGACTGGTGTGGGGACCACTCTTGAGTGTGTGGTTCCCCTAGATATTTTTCATTGCACAACATTTATCAGCTACCACAGCTAGAACCTGGGCCAGAACATGGTGCAATCACAGTACACAGGATTGAAAGAAATAAAAATGTCTTTGTGGACACATCAGCTGGCACCAGCTCTAGCTGGACTCACGGCTTTCATTTCAAGGGTGTGTGAAATGGATGCGTTTGGCAATGCTGGGAATGGAGAATGATGTCTCACCACACCCCCAATCATTTGCCGCTTCCTCTCTGGGGGAGTTGCTCACACTTTAACACACCCTTCCCTAAGAGGTATTCAGTAACATCTTTGCTTATTTACTCATTCTGACTCTTCCCCCAGTCAAGTATCTCTGGAAAGTCCAGAGGAGGAAGTTTAACTATTTCAAATGAGGAAATGTGGTTGAATTTTACAGTTCAGTAAACTCTGGGATCACAATAACACATTTTGATAAGGAAGTTACTTGCATAAGTGAACCTGCTAAAGAAAGTCTGAAACATACAAAGCATTGTGATGACTGAGGCAAGAAGAAACAGAAGTTGGCTTACCAAACAATCTTGTTCACTTCAATCCATTCTTTACTAAAGCAGAGTGATTTCACATCACAGGAAGATGTTCCCCAAATGTATAAACTTGAGTCCAAACTGCTATCAGACAAGAATTGAAATAATTTTGTCTTCCTAATGACAATACTTGGATAGGGGAGTCAGACAGTCTTACGAAAAAATGTAAGCCAATTCCCAACACACAGGCCAAAAGATGGTAAAACAGGACTGTTCTTGGTCTGTACACAATCCCCCCAGTCCATCAGGCTCAGAATGATCAGGTTTTATAATCCTAAATCAGGAATACTGTGATGTGACGTATCTCACACTCTGAATGAAATGAGAAGAAGCAAGCACAGGATGATTCATCAGGAAATCAGTAAAAAGAGAACTGAGAATTACAAAAGGGACATGGGAAGGAAAAGTAAACAGGGAGGACAGTGGCAAGAGAAAACACCATGACTGAGGCCACCCTCCAGCCCCCCATCAGTCTGTAAGAGAAAACACCATGACTGAGGCCACCCTCCAGCCCCCCATCAGTCTACAAGAGAAAACACCATGACTGAGGCCACCCTCCAGCCCCCCATCAGTCTACAAGAGAAAACACCACAACTGAGGCCACCCTCCAGCTCCCCATCAGTCTACAAGAGAAAACACCATGACTGAGGCCAACCTCCAGCGCCCCCATCAGTCTGCAAGAGAAAACACCACAACTGAGGCCACCCTCCAGCGCCCCCATCAGTCTACAAGAGAAAACACCACTACTGAGGCCACCCTCCAGCCCCCCCATCAGTCTGCAAGATGAGATACAAGAGGAAATAAAGAAAAGCTAGTTTTCAAGTTACCTGGCAAAATATATCACTGTCCATGAAAGAGCATGAGACTTAAAATCAGCCTGGTGTGTCACAACTTCAAGCCTAAGCAAAGCACAGGAAAGAAAACTCAGGCTCTTTCTGAAATTACATATATGGTCATATGGTCCCTGACAACATTTCAACGTATGCTTTTTTAAAGTGGTGCCGAATACATACTAAGTATTAAGCAATCCAAAATACTTAGTAAAGACACCGACTGGAATGGCAAACTCAGAGACCTCCCACATGTCAGCCCCGTCTCTGAAGAGAACTAAGTAAAGTTCTCTGTAAGCTAAGTAAAGCTGAGTTTCTGTGAAGCACTGTTTCCCCAAAACCACTTAGCCCTGTGGGATCACCCCTGTAAGAGACAGAGAAAAGAAGCCGGTCCTAGAAGGAGGAGCAGTCAAGCTTCCAGATGGCCCTGAAGCCTGGGGAGGGAGGTGGGGGAGGGGAGGGGAGGAGGAGGGTGGGGGCAGGAGGGAGGGGAAAAGGGAGATGGGGCAGGGGGAGGGGAAAAGGGGGAGGGGGGCAGGGGCAGGAGCTCCAGAACTCAACCTGATTGCCAGAGTAGTCTCACATTGAGTCAACAGTCAGGCCTTTTATACCCTGCTGCAGTGCCTCCCCAGAAATACTGTGCCTGGTGAAAAATAATGACTTCTGTGTAGCCAGTTGACTTGAATAAATCTTACAATATTGAGAAGAGATTAAAATGAAAAGAAAGTATAGTATGCTTTTCATTTACTTGAAATTTAGATAAAAAATGGCTTAAAACTATCAATAAAATGAAAAGAATGTTAAATACAAAATATTTAGACTTCTGGGGGATTGAGATGAAGAGTCCTGTGAGGGTGCATGCACACAAGCCTTCCAAGGTCTGCTACTTCTCATTTTGTAGGTAGATAGTAGGCACATGGACTTTTTTAAATCACTATTCAGAGGTAAAGTATGTTAAAGTATTTTATGTAACTATTTTGAGTTTTGTGAAGATTTCTCATTTTGTTTCAAGAGAGACCATATTCCCAAAGTTCAACACAGAACCAAGAGTAGACAATAATCAGACCTGGCCTCCTAGCCCTCAAGCCTTTGTTGACCACATTTTCCATTTCATGGCTGCCAAAGTTCCCTGACTGGCATTGCCAAGCTCACTGGCTATTTTGGCAAGAATATGTCATGTTTCGTGAGAAATGCTTGGTGTCACTAAGAGGTTTTCAATTTGTTGATGTAAAAATATTAACAGGGCAGTAAAATACTCAGCTGGCCAAGGGGCCTGACAACCTGAACTTCATCCCCAGGTCTCACTGGTGGGAGAAGAGAACCACCCTCTGAAGGCTGTCCTCTGATGTCCACAAGCACACACACATACACACACACACATGTCTGAGCACACATGTGCATACACACACATGCACACATACACAATGCACCATAAATCAACAAATGGAAGTAACTTGGGGGGATATTAACACTTCAGATTTTAAAAGTTTATGTATGCAGAAAGCAGACACATAGTCATTGACAGTGTCACTCCTATTTAAGTTTTGAAAACTGGAACTTCAAAAAATAATTTGTATAAGTAACACTATAAATAAAGTCTAATTTCATATTTTCCTGCAAGGTTGGTGTGTGTGTGTGTGTGTGTGTGTGTGTGTGTGTGTGTGTGTGTGTGTGGTCTCACACAGGTGAATGCACCTGTGTAGGCCAGAAGTTGATGACAGGTATCCTCCTCAGTCGTTGAACATAGCTCTCAGGAATTCAGCTAGACTGGCCAGCCAGCAAGCCTCGGGATCCTGCTGTCTGTCTTTAGCAGCCCTGGAAGGACAAGTGTTCTGCACACCCCCTTCTGTGATCTGGGGTTCAAGCTTGGGTCCCCACACTTGTGCTGAACACTCTTCCTCAAAGGAGCTGCCTCCAGCCTCTGGTTTTGTTTGTTTTAAGCTACACTGAGTGGTGACTATGGGGATCACAGGATGAAGAACTTACCACAGTGCTCTGAGAAACCTTAAAATACAGTGCCCCCACCCCAAAAAAACACTAAAATTTTACCGAAACACCAATACACAGGTTTGTAATTCTTCACAATGAATGAAAGTGAGTGAAAATGAATGAAAGATGCAAGGAAGCCAAAATCCAGCTGGGCCACACACAGCTTTTCAACCACGCGTGCGCGCGCACGCGCGCACACACACACACACACACACACACACACATACACACACACACACACACACTACTGAAACATAAGACTGGGCATTTTATATTTTACCCAGCTTCTAATCTGCAATCACCTGCCATTTAGCAAAATAAAGTAGGAGCTGGGAAAGGACTATTTTTGTGATGGGAAACAGACTTGGAGTTGCTTATAATATTTCAAAAAGTTGAACCTTCAAAACATTAACAAAGCAAGTGATTCAGAAGCTGAATAAACCTTCCATAAGCTGTAAAGTTGTTTATGTGTGACTAGCTGTCAATACGCAAAGACAAGGAATCACACAGGCATAACTTCCATAAGAGCTCAGAGGAAAGAAATTGTGGACATGGTAAGTTGATGTGCCCACACACACACACACACAATCCACTGGCAGTCTACAGTGTTTAAGGAAAACCAAAGATAGAAAGAAGTGAGCACACGGGCACACACAGTTCCTATGCACAAGGTGAGCCCTGAAGATGTTTCCTCACTTACGGTCTTTAAAAAGAAAGGAAAAACTTAGGAAATTACAGACCCTCTTCTTTTAGGTAGATTAATTCTGGAAATGCACAAAAGTCACGTTTCACTTCCTCTCCAGAAGAGCCTCAGTATCAGGAACAACGCCAATAGACAGGGCAGGAAGCTGAGCATCCCTGCCTCCCTGCTTCTTGTGGCGCAGGGCTGGAGTGGGGCGGGTGTTGGGTGTGTGCTTGGGGGCCCTTGAGCAAGCTGCTGTACCTTTAGCGCCCTGCAGACCCTCAGTTCACTGCGTGCATCCTGAAAGGGCACCCTGCCCTGTCTATATCACATCTGGAGGGACATGCCCACCAAGCCACCAGTGTCGGTCCAGGAATACAGAATCTGTTCCCCAGATATACAGCAAACGTCTTTTTAAAATGAAGGGGAGTTAAACCTCTGAATTCCCCTTCTTAAAAGCCGATTGGTGCCGGGAACGCTCAGCATCCTCTCTGGGACAGGCTATTTTTAACTGTCGTTTTCTTGACCACCACAGCTCTGGATTCTGTCAACCTACACTTCCAGGCGCTCCTGGTTCTAGCTGAGCCCCGGGGGCAGACAAGGGGGAACCATCCCGCCGCCTCCCGCCTCCCCTTCCCAGTGACGAGGGATCAGGTACCACTCGCCTACTCGGAGGGGACAGCGCGGCTCCACTGAGCCCCGAGGTTCTGTGGATGCCGGCCCCCGGCCGGCCCGCCCGCCCCCTCCAGGACGCGCGCCCCGCACCTGCGCCGCCTCCTCCGGCCGCTGTCGCCGCCTGGGCTGGCAGACTCGGGAGCACGTCTGCTCGCACGTCGAAGTGGACGCCCAGCCGCAGAGCCATGGCCCGCAGGCGGCGGCCGGGTGGACATTCCGGGCCGGCTCTCACCTTCCAGCCCTGCAGCCGCCTCTCCTTCCTCCCCACCGCCCCGCTGCTGCTTTCGGTTCTGGGCGGTCCAGCCAGGAGGATCCCGAGCACCGCCCCTTCCAGGCCGCAGCCTGAGACGACGCGGGGGACCAGGCCTCTCCCTGGCAGGGAGCTGTCGCAGGGCCCGACGGGGCGCCTTAGCCCGCAGCTTCCTGCGCCTGTGCCCAGGCCAAGGTTTCTTTTTTAGCCTCAGGTCATTTCCACCTCTTAGCTAGGGCTGGGTCACCCGAGGAGATTCAAGGTTACCACAAAGGGGGTTGGCGTGTTTTAGCTGCAGTGTTTCGGTAATAAACAGCAGCAGGGAGCATGTAAACTACAGGGTACTGTGTTAACAGGAGGGTTTGCTTACCAGTCTGGGTTCTCTTTGTATTCCAGTTCCTTCACAGTGGCTTGAGGAAGCTGGCTTGTCTAGGAGTGAGTGGCCCCTGAAGAGATCTGTGAGCACTTTCGTTCTTCCAGGGTTCCTTCCCAACCCCGTCTATTCCTCTACAAGTAGATCCAGTGTTTTCATAATCTAGCACTCTGGCTTACTCTGCTCAAGGAACGCACAGTTAGTAAGCTTGGCCCTGTGACATGCCATCCATCCTTTACATCAGTGTCCGGTTATCAATTACTGTTACTAACACTGAAATAGCCTTAGCCTACACAGTGTCTTATGCTTATAATCCTCGCACTTACAAGGCTGAGGCAGGGGAATAGCTTGGAGGTCATGTCCAGCCTAGGCTAGAGAGTGAGACTTGATGTCAAAAACAGTTACCGAGCTAGTCTCCTATCTCTAGGCAGACCAACAACTTACTGCCCTAGAAAAAACTGCCTGGTCTTTACCCAACCCTGGAACCCTCTCTGCCTAGAACCAGAACTCCCAACTGATCGGCTCCCAGAACCTTTCCGGTCATTCCCACCCTCCTTCTGCCTAGAACAGTTTCCAGGTCCCCCCAGCCCTGGCTCCACAGAGCCCCCTCCTCAGGCTGCAGCCCACGGTGACCTTCGTGCCCTTAGAGTGGCATTGCTAGCCCGTTTCGTTGTACCGGAGGTAGACTTCTGAGACAGGAAAATTCAATCTTGAGTCTTGGGGTAGCTCTTCTGCCCCACCAAGGCCGAATAGGATCCCTGGAAGAAATGAATGGCTGTATTAATAAGCTAAAGAACACTCTTTTCACTGGTGTCTCAAAGTTGGGATTTCACAACTATGGGTACCAGAGTTACCCCGAGGAACTGTCTTAGAGTGCAGGGTGTTTTCTGGCTTGGAGTTGGACAAGGCTCAGAAATGTTTTCCCCAAGCCTTGGAACCCAAGTCTTGCTGTGATCTGAAAACTACTTGATAAGTGTAGAAGTCTTGATTTTCCTCTGAGAGTGTCTCTCTGAGGGGGGCAGTGGCTGGAGTAATCCGTGCTGACAACTACTTGCATTTGTTTGTAATTTGCATGAAGATTTCAGAGAAGTCTAATGCTGCCACTGGCTGTGACTAACGGGTGCAGACAGAGGAGAGACTCGGACTTTATAACAAGCGGAGCCTGCGAGCTTTGTTACGCACGTTTGCCTGTTTTTCAAATTTGCTGTCTTCACGTTTGCAGTTTCTGTGCTTGTCAGGTCAGATGGCTTGGTTGTGTGTGGAAGATAGTTTATTTAACAGGAATGCTCCACTTAAATGTCCACTGCACTATCCTGACCAAGAAAAAGTTCTTAAATTAAGATTTTCTGCCGGGCAGTGGTGGCACACGCCTTTAATCCCAGCTCTCAGGAGGCAGAGGCAGGAGGATCTCCGTGAGTCCGAGGCCAGCCTGGTCTACAGAGTGAGATCCAGGAAAGGCGTAAAGCTACACAGAGAAACCCTGTCTCGGGGGGAAAAAAAAAGATTTTCTTGCTTGCATAAAACTCCTGAAAATAACTAAGTTTAAAAAAAGTAAAGAGTCTAAAAAATAATAACCAAGAGAGCAGAAAGATATAGCCAGGCACCACAAAACTGCATGTACCACCATGCCTGGATGCTCCTTAAGCAGCTGAAGAATACACTGTGGTGGTCCTTAGAATCAGAGGATAAGATGGGGTAGGAACCACAAAAATTTTGTACTTCAGACACCGATCACGGGTGTGATAGTGGCCTGAGTGTTATGGAGGGATGCAATGGCTTTCTGGCTCTCCCACAGGAAAGTCGGGTCTGGTACAGTAAATCTAACCAAGAGTCCACGGCTGAGGAGATTGTGGGCCCCAGGAATGAACCTACTATGTTTTGCTAATGGACACAGTAGCAAACTGCTTTCTAAATTCATGTCTCTGTACCTACACCTCGTCAGAGAAGTTTCTTTGTGCAGTAGATCGTGATTAATGCAGAAACTCACCACTCATTGTCTGTGGAGTGCATAGCTACAATGAGACATCTATATCACATCCTTTCTATCCAAGGCTTAAGGACCATTGAGGAAGAGGCGGTGGGAAGATTGTAAGAGCCAGAGGTCGGGAGGACTGGACCCAAACAGTATCTTATAGACGTGCGTGACTGTTGTACTCACAGTAGCTGTGCTTGGCTGCCCAAGACCTCTAACAGATCAGCAGGCATAGAACATTCCTGGCATAGAAGTAATGAAGGGAGCGTGAACTCTTGACAGCTGACGGCTTCTGGGGAAGAGAGAGTCGGTTTTCTTTAAGGCTGTAGGCCCTGGTAGGTCTAAAAGAACATTTTAAAAATAAACTCATATGTGTTGAATTAAATAAATCTGAATAAACTAAAAATCAAACTTTGCATTTGGGAAATTATGCCTTTGAAAGGATGGTCAAGAACTTTCTTCTTGAAAGTCATAGAAGTCATTTAAAAATATTAGATTCTGAATAGTCATGACAAAATTCCTCTGCACCACCTAGGAAATGATTAAGGTCCATACCAAAGATATAACAATCCTTTACAATAAGGTGGTTTGTTGTATAGGTATTAAGAATGTTGCTTTCTTGACAAAATTTACTTTTTTTTTTTTCTGAGACATTTTCTCTGTATAGTCCTGGCTGTCCTGGAACTCTCTCTATAGACCAGCTGGCCTTGAACTCACAGAGATCTGCCTGGCTCTGCCTCATGAGTCCTGGGATTAGGGGCATGTGCCACCATGCCCAGCTGCAATTTACTTTTAATAGAAATAAAAAACATGTTTAAGAGATAAATATTTGCTGTGGTAGTCACTATGACTTTCCAAAACCCATTTGCCCCAGTCAGGAGGTAACAGCTCCTCTTGCCAGTGGTTGGCATAGGAATGGCACTCAGAGCCGAGTTCCCAAGAAGTTAATAAAAACCAAAATTAACCATAAATTAAACACACAGGTTTTATTCCTCACCTATCCCAGAGAGGGTAGTCCAAAGCTCAGAGGGCAGGTTCTTGCAGTCCCCAGGGCCTGGGCTCATTTTAGCTCTTGTTCCATCAGACTTTGACTAAACACTTGTCCTCAAGGGTCAAGGTGATTGTAACAATTCACCCATCGTGCTTACGTTCTAGAAATCAAAAGGAAGATGGAGGTTAAAAGGATACCTCCCAGAAGGTCTACACATTTTTAACTGTTTTTGCTTGTATTATAAAGTGTCCAGTTTTGTGTTTTTATGAAATTTCTGTGTGTGTGAATGTTGTGTCCCTGTGGAATGTATTTCCTGTGCCTTTTCTTTAGCTCTCCCTCCCCGTTTGTTTGTTTGGTCCTATTCTGGTTTGTTTGGTTTTTTTAAAATCATATATATATATATATATATATATATATATATAT